ATCTCCCTTTGATTATTCCCAGTAGAAAGATTTCGGGTTTGTATTTTATCTGTTCTCCTGTAATTTCTTGCATCCTTTTCCAAATTTTTGTCGAATATTTTTGTGTTTCCGGACAGGTCCACCATATGTGATAATAGGTCCCTTGTACTCATCCACTTTAAGATGTGTGAACTTCGGTTCCCAAAATTTCCAGCAATCAGAATCCATGCTAGCCTGGGAATTCTGGGAACTGAAACCTACACCTCTTAAAGTGGAGGAGGTTGAGAAACATTGAGCCTGGCCTTGATTTCCAGTTTCAACCAACCATCTATTGAATGCAAGAGCATTAAAAAACAACAACAACCCAAGGGTGCCCAAGAAATATGAGTCTTGAGGTTGAGAAATATGGCCTTCATGTTAAGAATCTTCTCACTGGGGGAAAGAAAGGAGCTGAAAGTGGTTTGATTTCCCTTTGGAAATCTCTATAAATAATGAGCCCTTTCTGTGCCTCTTGCTCTGCAGAAGGAGGAAAAATATAAGCGACACAAGCAGAAGCAGAAACACCGTGACAGATCAAAACATGCCGAACGGGTGGATGCCAAAGATCCTTCTTCTTTACATCAGTGCCTGGGCCCTGGCTGCATCCAAGCTGCCCGGGCTACCTCCAAGTATTGCTCCGATGAATGCGGAATGAAGTTGGCAGCCAAGTAAGAACTATGTCTCCTTGGCGCCGTTTCTCCTCGGTATTTACTTTCCAGCTGGATTAGGGGAAGGGGGACTTTGCTTGTGGAGCTGGAGTGAGATGAAAGGGTTAGATATTGGTAGTGAAATACGGGCATCATCCCCCCCCCGCCTCCAAACTTCAGCTGTATGGAAAGAGAATTATGATGAAACTAAAAGGGACAGTTTTGGGAACTAGTGTTATAATCCATAATAGAAACCTCTTATGGTAGAAGAGCACATGGGCACCTCTGATGCCAGTCTTTGGTGTGGAAACTTTTGGTGTGGACAACAGTGGGGAACTATTTTTGTAGTGCACAGAGAACTTTTAAAGCACCTTTTCCTTCTACACATATAAAATACATTCATGGCTTTCTTTCTTTAAAAGCATGTGAGGCATTTGCTGTTTTATTATGCCTTAAATCAGGGGTCCTCAACCCCCAGTCTGACATGCCAAAAACCGGGCTGTGGAAACACGCAAAGCCCTATCTGGGGAATGGAGGCAGCACACCAAACCGCGCCCCTTCCACAGTCTGGGGAAAACCCAGTGGTGCAATTCAGCCAGTTCTATCCGCTTTGGGCAAACCGGTGGTGGTGGCGACAAGAGGCTGTTTTTGACGCTCTGCGCATGTGCACTCACATTTGCGAACCGGTAGCATAGGTTGGTTTCACCCTTGGAAAAAACCTCTCTTTGTGGAATCAGTCCCTGTTGCCCCAAAGATTGCCTTAAATAGTCCCTTTCAAGCTTATGCTACCCTTTAGGCAAATGAATTGCATAGGATAACATGTTGCATCTTTCATAATGACCTGTGATGTTTCATATTGACCTATGATTGATCCTTCCTTCCTTCCTTCCTTCCTTCCTTCCTTCCTTCCTTCCTTCCTTCCTTCCTTCCTTCCT